TTTAACCTAAGTTTAGTGGAGTAGTATAGGAATACACACGCGCATCTCTGCTTTGATACCCAAAAAAAATATAATAAAAATATCCATATGTGTTGCTATCTCCAGGTGGAGAGATGGCCAATGGTTAACAAGGAAATCACAACCGGATCAAGTTATTATTAGTATAGTATATACAAATAGTGGGCGAGTGATGATGGCCACGTCCATATTATTGCACTAGTTGTTCCAAGCTCCACTAATTATAGTTATAATTATACTCATGGATAAGGATGTTTCCACATGGAAAGATTGTGCCAAAATCTAATGAAGTAAGAGCGTCTCCAAGAGCACCCAAAGCACTCTCCCAATTTAGGATTTTTGGCATGATAGGAAAAGAACCATCTCCAACAATTCCTAATCCCACCTCCCAATCTTTTGGCACTTGGAAAAAAATCCTCCCTTGTGCGTCAAGATGCGCGGACTCCAGGTAGCGCGTATCCCCTCTCGCGGCAATCTGAGTGCGTATTCTTCGGCCAATCTAAATGTGGAAGAGCGGAAAAAAGAATAAATAGTAGAAAAGGGTTCCTAATGCAAATATACCAGAGAGAAAGCATATATATAATTGGTTAAGATAATTTAGAAATAGTATATGATTCTTGATGTAAAATTATCTTCTATATTTTAGAAGTAAATTATTGAAAACTGTTGAAGATGATCTTATTTATTCTTCCCAATACTTTTTGGCGAGTTGGAAAACTATACGGTTTGAGGAAGAAAATATTGGGAACTCTTCTTAGCTATAAAAAGGGTTTTGGTGAACTGCAGGTGTGAACTGTGAATTGAAGCGATGATAAAGAGGCGGCAAGGGTTACATGTGTATGGCAATGGAGAGAGTATATATATATACACATAATGAAGACAACTGATGATATAGCATGGCATCATGCTTAGGCGATGAAATCGTGGCCATCTGCCAGGAAGACGGGGACGATCACACAGTAAAAAAATGATAGATAAAGCGTCAGAGAGTGTAGGTTGTTTTGATTCGGCTAGGTAATTAACAAGCTGAGGGCCGTTGCGGCGTTTAGATGCTTGTTTAATGTTCCCAAAAAAAAAACGGGACTGTAATAAGTTCTCATTTAAATTAGCTATCAAAATCATACGGGTGCTTATCACGTGAAACTCATTATAACTGTTACGGTTGCGCCTTAGTGATCGAGACTATTTAACATAGAGTGGTAAAATTAAATTGAAGTCCGAGGGGAAGATATATTTAGCAAAGTCTCAACGGAACGGCGGTGAAGTTAAAATCCCCGTTCCCACAAAACCCATAGCTAGTTTTTGAGCAGAAATAAAAGGAATGGTTACGTTCTTTATTCTTAATAATGAACGGTACCACTAGATGAGTATATCTAGCCGGTAGGCACCACTGCTCCAGTAGACTAATGCGATCGATGTGCCAAGCAGACATACACTTTTTCCTTGTATCTTGCATGTTACACGAACAAGCAGTCTCAGTGGATCCAAAAGTCGAGAGCTTGGCCACAACACGTACACGTACAGAACACAGGGAAGAAGTAGAATGGATCGTGTTGATGTGGTTAGAGGTCTGTCAGTTAGCTTTTTCTGTTGTCTTTTACTATATGTCATGATAAAGTAGTAAGATTGTTGTTGCTATAGAGATGAGCAACCTCGGTTATTAATGGTGGGTAAAGAAATAAATCTATTATTACTTCTAACTTGATTAAAAGTGACGGGTTTTATTTTTAACCTTTACTTATAAGATTGCTGTCACAATATATGTGCCAAGTGATTAGGAAACACAAAACCACTTTCACGATTACGGGATAGTGATGCCTCACAAGTGTCAAGTTATGGTTACCAGTAATAAATACTAGTCAGATTTGCCCTGTCACTATTGATGTCCTTATGTTGGTATTACCCGTACCACCTGGCATTCATTACTTCTCTGTCCTGAAATTTTTAGTCATCCCGTAATTCCAACCATTCTAAGCTTGTACAAAAAATACTAATATTTACGATATAGAATTGAGTCAAGTAGGTACAATATAAGATGTATTTTTATACTATCGTCTAACAAAAATCCGACAAAGCCTTTGCCGCCTTTCTAAAAAAATTGTATTTTTATAATTTATTTGTTGTGATAGATATTTATATTTTTCTCTGTAGATTTAGTCAAATTTAGAATGAGTTGATTGAGAACAGCTAAAAAATTATATTTTAGAACGAAAGTATGCATTTTTTTTCACATATTGCGTAGCCGGATTTCTCCCTTGCAGCTGCCGAATTAGTTGGCTACCAAAATTTGCTATATCAGGGATTTGACAACCCAAAAGTTAGGCAAAAAAATTACCAAAGATTTAGCAAGCTAAATATGATAAGATGGCAAGTTTTGGGAACCAATCTTTAGCTAAAACCATGGCTTGCCAAATTTTAGGTATGATAAATTTTGGTAACCAACCAATCACACCCGATGAGACCGATCAGAACATCAGCATCAGTGACGTTGATGGTCACCGATCACATGTACTAGTACACACGTGGTCCAGAAAGCAACTGGATCTTTTCTTTGACCTAGTAGCAGATTAGGATTTTATTAGTAGTATTCCTTGCACGGCTTTTTCTTATTGTTGCTTGTACACATTGGAAAAATCCTTTTCGCAAAAAGTGATAGGACAAACCCTCCCTGCTGTCATGCCTGAATATATACTTTGCCAAATTGTGAACAGCGCTCCAGCATGTGCTAAAAAGAGCTAATAATCTGGTACAGAAACTTGCATGGGCGATGCGTTCGTCGTGACACCGTCATCACACATCCTTTTGCATGTCTTCTAGTACTAAAATCTTATCTTATGATTTGATATCGAATGACCGGGGGGAAAACCCTGATGTTTCACCCCACCTCTCGCCGACTAAAAGGCTTGTGGTCAACTTAAAGAGAGATGATTCTCGCGTTCGCCGCCTCTATCCTTTCTGCGGAGAAATAATGAATGAAATCCTCCAGCTAGCAACTAGCAATGTAACCCAATTGTTCCGGAATGCATGCGTGGCTACTGATGACCTTTGTTTGTTTGTTTTTCCCCCTTCTAGTGGCCATCATTTCCTTATCAAACGCTGGCTGCCGTCATACGCATGCATGCGCGCAGTTATCCGGAAGAAGCCATCCATATATAGAGTAGACGATCGATGCGTGCCACTTGTATGAGTAGCGACGACGCTCGCCACTCCACGAAAAGCGACGCAAGCCCTACAGCTAGCTAGCTAGCTAAGTAGCCGCGTACGTACTAGAAACAGCACCGCATTGCCGTTCGCAGAACGTACACAGACGAGAAGTCGCGCGAGACAGGCACACCTGGAAGAAACACCCGTCCATGGGCGAAGACGACGCATGCGTGCGTAGCTCTATATACGACGATGGCGAAGACGACAGCACAAGCATGCGCACCAACACTACCACATTCAGTTCGTTCGTTCGTCAGCAACTAACTGGACACGATATATCCAACTGCCACTGACAGAAGAATGTCGAACTGTCGATCGATGAAACCTAGAGAGGCCCGGCCCGATCGATCTGTGTTCTGTGCTGTGCTCGCTTTCGGCAAGACGACGACGGAGACAAGCAGGCAGGTCGGTCGGTCATCACCATTCCATGGACATCACAAGATCATTTGGCATATTGGCAATAGTGGGTGGCTGCTCTTGTTACCAGATCGACCCCGAACACGACAGGTCGAGGTTGCAATTGCACTGGGATCGATCGGATCGGATGTGATTCGACCGATCGTCGGACGACACTAACGTGGCGCGGCAAGCCAAGATACGGCACCTTATCAAGAGTACTCCTAGCGCGGAGGTGTAGGTGGTGGGGCTTTTCTTTTCGCGCTTTACTAGATTTCTTTTTTCTTCTGCGATTCAGATGTGGGATTGGGTCTGCCGCCGGCACTGTCGAATCCAAATGTAATGAGAGCCAAGAAAGAACTAGGTATAAGCAACATTATCTTCCTTGTTTTCATTTTCTTCCACTTTTGCTGCTGTCAACGTACTATCTTGTTCATGTTATGTGAACCATTTTTTGCATGTCCCTGGCCCCACCCTTTTATCGTTTCAAATACCCCGTATCATTTCGTACTCTCTGTGCTCTGCGTCATCCAATACTATTCATCCGTTCATCAGTATCTGATTTGCTGGTTTTCCCATGCTCGATCCGCCGAATGCGTCGGATATGTTGAGGATGCACGATGCTGGTATTGAACCATGTGGTTAGGCTTGTTTTTACATGTAGATAGAGATCTTCGATTTTGTTTCGAGCACCCTATAGCACTAAGGGCCCAGCCCACCCCAGCCGGCGGCCCTGTTGGGATGGACTCATCCATTGTGGCAAGCCCAATCAGAAACACGGCGTGCTAGTTTTAACTTGGTTTGTTTTCCAAAATATGAACTTCGTTAGTTAGCCATTGCTCGCAAAATCAGATCACATTATGGCGTACCTTCAACTTCAAGGTCCTCTCAGAAACTAGAAAAGGTTTCTAGTCTAGTCATAAAAAGATGTGATAGGTAGATAATAAAGAAATAAGACGTGATAAGACAAAAAATTATTTTGAAAAAACTATTCACTAAAAATATGGTTTCTATATGCAATGATACATAAGATAATTTAATAATAAATTAGAAACTACCTGTGGTTTCTATTACTGAGGCTGCCCTAACTGCCCTCAAAACTCAGTGGTAAAGACGGCTAACGAGACCATTTATAAACAAAGCTAACAATAATATAAGTAAAACCGCTATCACAAAAAAAAAGTGGGGCCTCTTGTAATTGTGCCTTGCTATGTTGAATGCCACATAATTTGTCAAGAACGATTACAAACAGAAAACGTCCAAGAGTTGACACAAAATTTCAAACAATACAGATCCCAAAAACTTCCTCAGTAGGAGTATATTAGACGCTGGCAGACTTGGAACTGCTACATCTGACAGGGCCACCGCGACACGACTTGAAATTACAGCCTCCTTCCTCTCCTACCACCCTTTCTGCGAGTGCTGTCAGTGGGGACTGGAGTAACATCCTCTGTACACAATGAAATCCCAGGTTAACAAACCATGCAAGAGAAACCACGGTAAATTTTTATGTCATATAACTTTTCAAAGCAAGATAACTACATTCTACCAAATATTTCTAGCAACCACGGTAAAGTTTGATTTGTCATAAAACCTTTTCATCAAAAGATGATTATATTCACAGTACATTCTACAGTTTATGTATATCTAAAACAGGATGTATTTTAATGGAGTTATGCCTCCCACCAGGTTTGGTTCAATGATGCCAACAGCCTAGTCCTCCCTGGGTTTGGTTCAATGATGCCAAGTGCCAGTTGGGCATACTATAGAACAATAGCCAGATAATGTTTTCACTTGTTCATAGTAGCTCAAGCTTCAAGTTTTGCCCTTGCCAAGCATGTTTTCACTTATTAAAAGTAGCTCAAGCTGAAGTTTTGTCCTTGCCAAGCACAGCATGTACGTGTTTATCCATTAGCCCCAAAATACTAGGTCAAGGTTCTGCATAACATACAGCAGCAGACATCTAGGACTTTTTTAAATCTAGCTCAGATGACAGAAAGATGCAAAAGGGAAAATTCATAGGCCAGCATGCTTACCAATACGGCTCAGATGACAGAAAGATGCAAAAGGGAAAATTCATAGGCCAGCATGCTTACCAATACGGCCAATCTTCATGCCAGATCGAGCAAGGGCTCTAAGGGCAGACTGAGCACCAGGGCCAGGGGTTTTGGTCTTGTTTCCACCAGTAGCACGGAGTTTAATGTGCAATGCAGTAATTCCAAGCTCCTGCAAATGGGAAATAAGAAAATGAGGACCTACTTATCAACAAGTAACGTATTTTTTCCACAGTAAGAAAATACCTTGCATCTTTGTGCAACATCCTGTGAGGCAAGCATAGCAGCATAAGGTGAGGACTCATCACGATCAGCTTTAACCTTCATGCCACCTAGACAATGCAAAAATTGTCAAATTCTAGTAAAAAGAAAAAGGAAGACCTGAGTGACTAGAAAAAGAACTTGCAACTTTAAGAAACCAGGACAATAGGCAAAACAACATTTAGCTTTAATCCAACTCAAACTGGTTTAAAAAAAGCTGTCTGAAACCTCATAACAGAACATATTATTTGTATCTATATAAACTAAATCACAACTAACTGGTGACAGGGAGACCATTTGACAGTAGTCATAAGTTCAGCTGTCAGAGCAAATACACAGACAGCCAATCTGCAGTTAGAAATTATTCTCAATTGATCTGATGTTTGATTCAGCAACAGGTAATAGAAGCCTAAAATAACTGGTAAGACAAAGTGCAACTGGACTGTACACAACTAAACAGAAGATGAAACACAACAAACAGAAATCATGTTCACTTCCATGATATAGGCACCTTCATTCAATTTAGCGATGGTACCCAGCAGGAATGACTCAGCTAAATCAGTGCAAAAAGCAACTGACTGAGGCCAAGCAAACACCACAGGATACACAATAGCAAGATAAGATACCTAAAACAAACAGGAAGAGAGAGGACCCAGAGAAAAACTCTCTGGTCCCTCATTATCAATGTTGCACAGCTATGACTCGAAACGCTCCCACGTGAATGGAAGGGAGGCGATCTTAAGGGCCGTGCTTGAGAAAGACAACTAGAAACCAATACAAAGCATTACCACATAGCATTCCTTCTATCACAAATAAACCAAGATAGCACACAAAGTCCATCCAATGTGATGCTAGACACCATGTCCAGGGAAACAATGCAATTGAATCAATTGAATGAAGTGGATGGCAAGCTTGACCAGCCAAACTAAGCAGCAGCATATTCATCAACTACAGCTACATCTCCTTACAGAGAAAGGGCCAATCAATAGACAATAGCACAAATAAGCATATGAAAAAATAACTGTGTCATCGCAATCAGAGAGTAACCCCAGTAGCATAGATCAACTACAGCTACATCTCTTTACAAAGAAAAAGACTATGGTAGTAAATAGGCTACCCAACATTACCAAAGTCATTGCAATGGTACTAAATAAAAAACAGTACCAATGTCATTGCAATCAAACAATAATCCCAGTATCATAGGGACTCGCAAAAGAAACGTGAGAAGGCTAAGTACCAGTGATGCGGACGAGCGTCTCCCTTCCAGACAGATCCGTCACATGCTGCAACACCACACACAAACACACATGTAAGTTTCAATTTTTCGCTCGTTTCTACGAATCCTTCGCCCAGAATCGGATGGGAATGGAATCGGGGATTGCTGCGTCTTACGATGAATGTGTCATTGAATGACGCGAAGATGTGGGCGACGCCGAAGACGTGTTCACCCTCGCGGACGGTGGGGCCAAGCGTCACGTTCTCCTCCTTGGGCTCACGCGTCTTCTTCCTCCCAGACTGCACAGCATAGGCTCAAAAACAGCAACAAAGCGGTCATGGCCAGCTCGCTTTAAGATCTGAAAGAGGACGCAGAGGTAGAGATGGCAAAGATACATACCATGGCGGCGATGGCTGCAAAAGAGGGGACGGCTGCAAAAGAGGGGTATGTTAGAGTTTGCTGGGGAGGACGGCGGCGAGTGGCGGCGAAAAAACCCTAACACGCAGAGGTTGTGTTTAGGCTTCACGCTGCCTGTATAAGTATTGGTCGACCATTCGTGGGTACTAGAATCCTTGAACAATGCACTATCTAATTACCAGAACTCAACTGATATTATTCTAAGCAGTCTTGGACAGGGTTTAAGCTACCACTAAACAACCTACACAGCTGATCAGCAAGCACCAAATTGCTGCCAACTGGAGACCCAAGTGAGGGATCTCTCAGCACCAAACACCTGCAGACTGATGTACTTATTCACTAACTAACTAGCTAACTAAACAGCCTCCCTGGACCAGAACCAAGAATCGATTTCAATCACGCCAGCATACCAGAATTACAAGACAAGCTTCACTGATAATGCAAAAGCAGAACACAACATTACAAGAGAAGGACGCTTCACGGATCATGCAAAAACACAACACTCAATACCCAATACACAGTAGCAGCCTAAATGGGAACGCACAAGAGCATCAGGAATCAACGCAATCGTGTCAAAGCAGCAGGAGGGGCAGGGATAAATCAAGAAGCCGACGAGGCGCGCGCAACGCCACCGTCGTCCTCCTCTGCCAGCCCCATCCGCATCACCTGACACGCTCTACCACCTCATCGTGAAGCCGATTCAAAGCCCGGATCTGCTATCGTTTGGGAGGACGGGAGGGAAAGGGACGTGGAGACAAACCTCGACGGACGGCGGGACCGAGAGGAGGGCGCAGCGGCGGCGGTGGCGGCGGGCGATGGAGAGGAGATGCTGCTAGGGTTTTGCCCAGCGCAAGCGCGAGGCAGTGCTGCTTATATTGCGCTTGGCCCGGCGGACGCAGGTAGCACAGGTACAAAGCCTTGTTGGGCCAAGTCGCCGTCCAGCAAGTAAAAAAATCCCATGGGCCGTCCAGCAAGCCCAAGAATCCCAACCATGCCAGATCACACGGTTATTTACGACCATTTCTTCGACTGGCTATTTCAAAAGAAAAAAAAACTTCGACTGCCTAGGAATGGGGCGAGGCAGTGAGTGAGGCTACGAGAAAATGTGATGTAGGTCCCAGTCCCAACTTTATTCAGGTTTTTAGGCACACTGTTGGTATTCCTCTGAAATCTGCCGGTTCAATAGAAGAAGTTTGTTGATATGCTAATACGAATTTCAGAACTTACAAGACAAGCTTCACTGATCATGCACAAGTGGAATAATTTTCTCCGGTCTTTTCTCTATTTTATTGTGGTTAGATCTGGCCACGATAAAGGACTAGGGAGAATAAATTTCATATCAGTCTTCCTCATTCTTCGATGATAAAAAGAAAAGAAGGAAGACACTAAAAAGAAGAAGATTCTCAACTCCGCCTGTAAGAATGTTGATCGTCGTTCGTTGGGCATCTATTCTCAGGCCTTTTACTGAGTGTTTGCCAATGCGGTCATCCATACTGCAAAGCGTCGTACAGGTTTGGTTTGAGATATAGAGCTTTTTCACAGCGTGGGTACAATTTAAATGAAAATCAGTTTCTGGATACTTATAGTGTAATAATCCAGAGCGATTATAACGTGTTGATGTACCCAGCTATTATCTAAATATAATTCTTCTTTCGTTGTAAAAAAATGGAACATAACATTATAAGAGACGGGCGCTTCAGAGATATCTGTATTCATTTTGTTCCGATTAATATTTAATAAGACTTGTATATAGATGTCTGTATTTGCATCCACTTCTGATATGGATACTAAATAGATGTATTTTAATCAGCTTTTTGTTATTATTTTCTATCTGATTTCATATCATGGAATATTCGATCGTTATCCCTGTCTATGGAAAAAATATGCACATGATGAAACCATTTAAAAGTTATTTTTGTGATGACTAATTATTAGTTTTAATATTACTAATTTTATACAGTTGAAAAGAATCGAACTTGGCCAAAATTGAATAAAATGGGCAAAATCTAGTAAACCAGCCCAGTCCAATTTCTATGAGCTTCGGTCAGGCCCCTATGTAAACCGGCCCTGGCAGGCCTGAGCCGGTTTTGGCTATCCGAGCTCAATTCAATCCAAGTTTTCAATCAAAGCTCCTCCAATCTCAGGGGAAACTTGCAAATCGTATTTTGGGAATATTTTTTATTGGGATAAGACCACCCCATTAGAGGATCATGGATGACTCAGATATCCCAGTACACATTTAACTATTGTATTCTAAAAAAATAATATATTTCTACTTTCTTTTGCCTTTAGCTCTTCCAACCTTCTGTTGTCCAGCGTCTCTCTCGACGAAATTCGTTGGCATTCAAGGTGGTCTTGTCGATCCTAAAGCAACCCCGTTGTGCTCATCTTAGATGGGTCTTACTGGAAGGTTTTCGTGAGTTTTTCATACTTTTTTTTGAAATAATATTATTTGAATAAATAATAGCAAACCTAGATACTGTTATATAAAAATTGTAAAAACGATAATGATATATAGCAGACGTCCGGATGGGGATGGACGGCCATGCCGCGCCGAACCTAATCCATCCTTTTCTTGCTTCCCCGCACTCGCTCTCCCCCGCTCCGCTCGCTCCCACGCACTCGCTTTCCCCTGCACTCGCTCTCCTCCCTCTCCGTCCGCCCGCTGTCCTGGGCGTCCGCTTGATGGGGACGTCGCGCCCACATGCAGGCTCGCTGCCGCGCGCCTGCCCGCCCGTGCTCCCTCTCTCCCTCCCTCCCTCCCTCCTTTCCTCGCCCTCCATGACCTCCATGCAACCCTGCACTCCCCAACGACCCGCCTCCCGCTCCCCCACCGGAGACGAGGACGACGGCGGCGGCTCCGACGAGATAGGTCGGTCCTTCTATGGATCTGAGCCCTCCTCCTTCTCCACCTCCTTCTCTGGATCTGAGCGCTCCTCCTCCTTCTCCTCTGGATTTGAGCCCTCCTCCTCCTCCTCTGGATCTGAGGGACGCGGCGGTGGCTAGGGTTCTGGTGAGCTCTGGGGTCCTATTCCGTCCTCCCTCCGACGAACTCAAAGGTGATGGGCCAGGGGCTGTTTTGTACGTTTTTTTGTTGTATCTCCCGTGTTGCAATGATTTTTTTTGCGATGTTGCAACAGATGATTCGAATGTTGCAATGGGATTTTTTGGGTTGTTGCAACAAATGTTTTTGTGATGTTGTAGTAGTACTCCTTGATATGTTGCAATACATAATTTTCGTTGTTGTAGCACATAATTTTCAATGTTGTAGTACATATTTTTTTCGACATTGCGGGACATGTTTTTTGATGTTGTAGTACATATTTTTTTGATGGTGCAGTACATAATTTTCGTTGTTGCTGAACAAGTTTTTAATGTTGCAGTACATGTTCTTTCGATGTTGCAGTACATGTTCTTTCGATGTTGCAGTACATATTTTTTCAATATTGAAGTACATAATTTTCGTTGTTGCAGTACATATTTTTCGATGATGCAACACAATTTTTCAATGTTGCACTACATATTTTTGTGATGTTGCAGTATTTATATCCCGATGTTGCACTACATAGTTTTCCATATGAAGTGTTCCGTGCTCTTTTTTGGGAACAGGGTGTGTCGGGGAACGAGGGATAGGAGGGCGGTGGGGAGCCGAGGACAGGGGCGGGTTTCGTTCTATACGCGGGGGACGTATGGGTTTAGGAAGCGGACCGGCATCCAGACGCACTCACATGCCGGATGTCCGGGCTCATAAAAATAAGTGCCCATCGGCCATCAGGAAGTTGACTAGGGACTTATCGGCTATTGAGTTGCCGATTGGTTTGTATCGGCGCTTTGGGTGCCGATCAGTGGTGGTATGTAAATCTAAGCATGGCCATGTCAAACCTTTTCGGGCCGATAGGCAGCCCTATCGGCTGCCCGGTGGCCGATAAGCCTGAGATGATTACCGCGCATTGCTTATGCTTGGGCATTGGGTAGAGATGTCTCTGATGGAATCTAAGCAAAGAGGCTACAAATACTACTTTATATATTTTATTAGTTTAATCATTTTGTTGACACCCAAAAATGTCTCACGGTGAATTATAGGCATTCCAGCATGTTGTAAATATCGTATACACTAGAAACCATGCGCAGCGTTGCCGCACCTGCCTATGTTGGGCTAGGCCACAATGAACCAGTACGTGGAGAGTATCAGTGTGGAGAGCAGCCAATGTTCTTTCCTTGCTTAGACTTCAGATACATTTTTGAGGGAATAAACTTTAGATACATTAGATAGAAAAAGGATTGCATATACATTGATGTATCTATTTAGTGATGCAAAATATAAAAAGAGGTGAAGGGCGGGCCTGGTGCAAGCGGTAGAGTCTTACCGCCTATGACCAGAAAGTCCCGGGTTCGAGTCGCGGTCTTCTCGCATTGCACAAGCGAGGGTAAGGCTTGCCACTAACACCCTTCCCCAGACCCCACAAAGAGCGGTCTTCTCTTTTTTCTTCTGCTAAAAAAGAAAGTTCTCTTTCTTCTTTATATATATGTAAGCGATTTCTTTTTTGAAGCAAATCCTAAGAGATTTTGTTTGACCTGTCAATCTGTCATCCAAATCAACAATGAGCCTCTCTAGGAGAGTTCCAGCAGCTCTAGATACACGAAAACAAATCCACCACATCAATGGAGCCGCTCCATGGTGGATTTGGAGCTATTGAAGCTCTTCCAAAAAGGCCCAATATTTTTTGGTTGTGACAACTAGGATTTGGGGTGAGAGTAAGAGCATCTCCTATAGTTCCAAAAATCAATTGATAAATCAATGAGTTTTCCATGTAGCTAAAAAAGATAGGAGTATATGTGATGATCCTTTCCCGGGGGCCGGTTGGGCGCGGCTAGGCAGGGGCATGGGTGGCAAAGGAGGGTGGCGGCACTGCAGAAGAGCAGCAGTGGCTTTAAGGCGAGCGGTGTCGACGGCGCTGATGCGCCGGCTACAAGGGCTAGGCGGC